ACCTACTTATCTTTAGTACATGTTATATCTACATAACAGATGAGCTTAAGACATTATACTGCTTGACCCAGCAACCTATTTATCTTTAGTATACGTTATATCTACATAACAGATGAGCTTAAGACATTATACTGCTTGACCCAGCAACCTATTTATCTTTAGTACATGTTATATCTACATAACAGATGAGCTTAAGACATTATACTGCTTGACCCAGCAACCTATTTATCTTTAGTATACGTTATACCTACATAACAGATGAGCTTAAGATATTATACTGCTTGACATAGTTACTAAAGAGAAATACAAAGTTCTAGTGTAGGAAAATAATTATTTTTTGATGACTTGTTGAAAGTTATTTGGTATTAATTCTAAATTCGTTTGAGATGCCTGAAAACTCAGTTTCTGCTTATTTACAAACCAGGTTGAAACGATCGCACGGTTCAGTCTTTCTCAGTACAATGCCTCAGCTGTAAGTCTGAAGGCTTATAACGGTAAAAATTGGGTTACGATACCCGTGGTGGGCAGAGCACGAACAACCCATTATGTAGTTTTATGCTTAAGAATAAATAAATAAATAAAAATTCATAAAATGTTGTTTTCTTTTCATAATGAAATCTCGATAATTTTGTTTTTATAATTTTGATTTAAGCCAATGTCTAAGTATATCAGCTTTGGTATCGATGACAAAACAGCAACAAAAGTTGATTCAGATATATATAGTTACTTGTTTTAAAACGTCTTTCAAGTAAGTATTTACGGTAAGGTTGTAGCAATAGGATCACAGTTGTTTACATGGTGTAATAACGGAACGGCCTCGCTAACTTTGTTCATAAACTACGAAACTATTTACATGGTGTAATAACGGAACGGCCTCGCTAACTTTGTTCATAAACTACGAAACTATTTACATGGTGTAATAACGGAACGTCCTCGTTAACTTAGTTCATAAACTACGAAATTATTTACATGGTGTAATAACGGCACGGCCTCGCTAACTTAATTCAT